ATGATATTTATTGAGAAAACTCGAGGAATATTCATCTCCTATCATAATTCGACTTGTGAGATCCAATCAAGATTTTGTAATATTAGAATAAAAAATATAAAAATTAAATCACTAAATAATTTAATTTATAAATAAAAATATTCTTGAAATCTTTTTTTAAGTGCAAAAAATATTTCTCAAACTGTTCAGAAAATATTTTTTAAGTATCCATCTTATTCTGAACTAATGTCAACTCTACCATCAATCATCTCAATTAATCTCATTAAAAATGAACAAATATATTATTATCAATTTCAGTTTAAATAACCAAACAAAATTGAGTTAATCCATCAAACTCAGGTCATAACAAATCTAATAATTGTTGGTCTAACAGCCACTGTTTATGAGAAGTCAAGCTCCCAAGTGTACTTAAAAGAAAGGATTTAGTACTTCTGGAGCTGCAAGCACAAAGAACATCACAATTTGTCAAACAAACCATAGATGGTTTCATGTTTCAAAAAGACAACCGAGCTGAACAAATACAGTAAATTACAAAGTCCTTTTCAACAACATTAGACTTCAAAAGAAACCAAACAATACCAGCAAACCTGATGGAAAAGCCACAGTCCACTATAACCAAACTAACATAAGATAGGAAAAGGACCAAAATATGGAAAATGTTTGTGGCACCAACTGCACATGTTTATGGTGCCCTGGCACAAAACATCATCTAACAAGAGGGCATTTATCAGCCCAATCTGAAAGCAGACATGCATCTCACTTGCATATCCCACAATCTTCAGCCAACCTGCTGTTACAATAAAGCCATAACTATAACATAAAGGCCTGCCTGTCAGAGCAGGAAAGCACCACATAAGGGAAGCTCAGAAGCATTTCCGGTGGACAATCGCAGGCCCAGACTCCTCGTACTCACCCTTGGAGATCCACATCTGCACATTTGAGATGTTCCAAAGTCACGCATGACATGTAACAGCAAAAATGAAATGACACAGGATGAGGACTAGGATATACCTGTTGGAAAGTGCTAAGAGAGGCAAGGATGGACCCTCCAATCCAGACACTGTATTTACGTTCAGGTGGGGCAACCACCTTAATCTTCATGCTGCTTGGGGCAAGAGCAGTAATCTCCTTGCTCATACGATCCGCAATCCCAGGGAACATGGTTGATCCACCACTGAGCACAATGTTCCCATACAAATCTTTCCTAATATCAACATCACATTTCATAATCGAGTTATATGTAGTTTCATGAATTCCAGCAGCTTCCATGCCGATCAATGAAGGCTGGAAGAGGACTTCTGGACACCTAAATCTCTCAGCCCCAATAGTAATAACCTGCCCGTCTGGAAGTTCATAGCTCTTCTCCACGGTTGAGCTTGTCTTGGCAGTCTCCAGCTCCTGTTCATAATCAAGAGCAATATATGCGAGCTTCTCCTTTATGTCCCTTACAATTTCCCGTTCTGCAGTCGTGGTAAATGAATAACCTCTCTCAGTAAGGATCTTCATGAGAGCATCTGTGAGATCACGACCGGCAAGATCCAAACGAAGAATTGCATGAGGCAGTGCATATCCTTCATAAATTGGAACAGTATGGCTGACACCATCACCAGAGTCCAGCACAATACCTGTTAAGAAAAAAAAAAGCCCAATCAAACAAAAGACAATTTCATGTTCCCCACTTAACCAGTCACCGATACAAACCAGTGGTACGGCCACTAGCATAGAGGGACAGGACTGCCTGAATTGCGACATACATTGCAGGTGCGTTAAAAGATTCGAACATGATTTGAGTCATCTTCTCTCTATTTGCCTTGGGGTTAAGAGGAGCTTCAGTTAAAAGTATTGGGTGCTCCTCGGGAGCTACACGGAGTTCGTTATAGAAGGTATGATGCCAAATCTTTTCCATGTCATCCCAATTGCTGACAATTCCATGCTCGATTGGATACTTTAAAGTGAGAATACCCCTTTTGGACTGGGCCTCATCACCAACATAGGCATCTTTTTGGCCCATCCCAACCATAACACCCGTGTGGCGAGGTCTGCCTACAATACTAGGGAACACTGCTCTAGGTGCATCATCACCCGCAAATCCAGCCTGTTTGACAAAAACAAGAGAAGCACAAGTCATTTTGAAGGCAATGGACAGAATCAAAGCACAGAAATATACTTAAGCTTCAAAGACAAAAGAATTGCCAAATTGACTGACCTTGACCATTCCAGTTCCATTGTCACAAACAAGAGGTTGGATATCTTCAGCATCAGCCATTTTCTATAAATATGAAGAAGGCACATTAAGATACAAGCAACCCTATCACTAGCGGCACATGCACTAACCCTGACTTTGATGCACGTACAAAGGGTGAACGACCCAAAGACCGAAAACTCACAATTTACAATATTTTCAGTTGCATGAGTTGTCTCTCCAATTAATTGGTAAAAGTAGAATACTTGTAAATAGCACTATCAAGAAATCAAACAATTAAACCATATTGTAGAGTTATCCGCTTCTTGGACATATAGAGAGACTTAGACGTTCATAGCCTGCCTTGCCTTTCTTTCCATAACAGTATTTAATACAGTAATTGCAAGTAATATATCAAGCAAGAAATGGAGGGCAAGACAACAGCAAAAACAAAGTAAATGAAAAAGCTGAAGCTTTTCTACTATAGAAGCAATAGAGTGCATTACCGCATGAAAAGATGGGAGAGAAAGGTCAGATCTAACATAGCTTAATGAAGAATCACAAAATAGAATATACGAGTACAGAATGGTCATCATAAAGGCATATCTTTGCATACAGATAAGAACTATAATTGAAGGAATCCACAAGAAGGCATATCTGATTGCTCTAACGATGTTGCTAAAAAATGAAGCACAAAAAAATGAAAGATGACATCTTTCATGGATGGAAAAAAGTAAGATCGCCTAGAAAACACCGAACGGGCTGGAAATCACCGGATCCAGAACACTAAACCCTAAATCTTCAAATTTCGTCAGCAAAAGACATGAAGAAGAAACGGAAATGGCAAGCGACGATCGATCGACGAAGGAACAGATGAACAGGTTCAGTGAAACGGATCTAACCTGAAGGCGATTATTCGATTAAGGCCGGGCAAAGCAAGTCGGGATCGAAGAGACGCCAAAGACCCAGGAAATGGCAAAGAGGGGAAAGTGGGTCGCTTTTACCAGGAAACAATCCTTTTTCAAATTAATTAATTAATTGATTAATAATAAAAAAAATACGTATAGTACGTATTGGGCTGGGCTTGACTTACGTCATTTTTGGAATCGGCCACATTCCAATCTTTGGTGAGTGATATTATATATTATTAGGTTAATATTATATGTATATAATTTATTAGATGATGATTTATTTTTTTAATATGATAATAAAAAATAAAATTTATATAAAAGAATTATTGAGTGAGATTTTAAATATTTAACTATATAATAATAAGGATATGATCCACATCTCAATTTTACGTTATCAATATGAGAGCGTCACATGATAATGGACGACACACACTTTGAATCTATATGAATAACATATGTTGAATACTTCAAACCAACGTAGGTAATGTATGTCGAACACTTCATGCTCTCACACACAAATAATGTGTGTTTGACACCTCAATAAATAATATATGTTTTGACCTTTAATAAAACGTCAGTTTTGAAAATCTTCGTATAATAAAATTGATTTCGATGAAAATCATTTGTTTGACTCGTATAAGTTTGCAAGTGAATAGAGAAGAGGGGATTGGATAGTTTGTAATGCAGTAAACAAAATAAGCAGTAAGTAAATAACACACCGGAATTTATAGTGGTTCGGTCGTCGTGACCTACATCTACTCTCGATTTCTTTTTCATCGAGGCCACCGACATCCACTAGCGATCTTTTTTCAACGGACGAAAATCAACTATCCTTTTACACCCTTTCTCATTTTCACGGGTTTACGAGACAACCCTTACAAGTTTCTTTTTCTTAGACCTCACTTCTCTTTTTATATAAACTTGTAAATACTAGGAAGAAGTGATCCTAAATCCTAAGAGAGTTTCTTAATTTTTTTCTCAAGTATTTTTTCCCCTTTTTCAACTCAATTTCGTGCTTAATTCTTTACTCCTCAATGTAGGAATAGTTATGTATTTATAGACCCCAAATTGCTTCAAAATTAGAGCAAAAAAATGTCTCATCCCGGATTTCCCAGATCCTAGCGGTACAATCGCTTGTGCTGGGCGATACCACCACATGCAACACTAATACTGGGCGGTACCATCGCCTGAGAGACTATGTCTGGGCGGTACCACCGCTTGACAGTCTCGGAGACTTGAGATTGGGCAGTACCACCGCCCAGACCGGTAGTACCATCGCCTGACAGTCTCGGAGACTATGCCACCGATGGTTCCATATGTTGGGTCACTGTTTGGGCCTTTCACTTGGCCTAACATAACCCAAACTTAGGCCTAATTGGCCCATAATTGAGTTGGCTCAATTCCAACCCAATTACACCTAAAACCTAATTCAATATAGACAATTATTACAAAGCTTGAATCAAATATTGTCCGGCATGTCATTGGTTCATCGACGCTTCGTCTGATTCTTCGGCGCATCATCCTCTCTTGCGGCCTATTGTCCAATCGGCTAGTTGACCTCCGTAACTCCGATTTTCTTGGTGCAATTTTTGCTCTTCTTGGTCCGATGCCCGAACCTATGTCCCGAAACCTTTTGCCGATACGTCGACCAATCCTCCGGCTCGACATTCAATCTTCTAACATGTTCTACTTTGGCCCAACATAATTCTTCCCGCTTTAATTGTCTCTCCCTGATCGAAGCTTTCTACATCACTTAAAACGTAGATTAAATCATAAACACTATCAATTGGTTTCATTATCAAAATCTGAGATTCAACGTATCTTACTACCACAGTCGATACAATAGCATCATCCTGTTGATACACATGACACCTCGGACCCATACGAACAATACATGTTTGACACCTCAAACTCACATAGACAACATGTATTCGACACCTCAAACTCACGTTAATGATGTGTCCGACACCTTGGGCCCATGTAGGACGATATCTTAACATCACATAATCAAATTGGTCAAGTTGTTAGCATCACATAATCAAATTGGTCAAGTTGATTGGTTCTAAATCGTCAACCAAAAAAAAATATATTAATGTTTTAGTCAATTAGTTATAAATATTACATTGTTAGCATCAATCATACATAACGGATGAAAGTATATTTTGAACTCATGACGATAATATTAAGTCCTTATCTATTAAATTGGCTGATACATATTTCACATACATTGGTTTCATTTAATTGTGTAAATGATTATATCCAATTAACATAATTTAGATTTAGAAAATAATTATAGGTGTTGATATGACCATTATATTATTGTTTTCATAAGTAAAACATCAGTTAGAGGAAAGATTATTCCAAAGAATAATTTCTGTTGCATGAATATTTCTCATGTTTCGACCTTAACATTCGCCTCCTTGGAAATTGTATTCTATAGACATACAGATCCAAACATGAGAAGGTAGAGTGTATATAAGCTCATGGCTCATGCTTTGCGTTTAGCTTTCAGCTGATGGTTGAGGACGTCGATGGTCGTACGTCCGTCCTTTTCAGGAATAAATAGAGGAAATGTCCCAACAATGCGTGTTGCTGTTCCCAACTTCGATCATAACGCCATGAAGTAACAATTAGATTCTTGTGTTCGATGATGGTTCTGTGAAGTTGCTAAGCCCATAGGATATTATCGCAAACAGATCATGCATCTCTTATTTATCAGTCTAATGTACAGGTGATGCTTAGATTCCCACCGCAACTCACAACGATGCGATTGGGGACTGCTTGGCCTGCGCATGGAAGAGCTGCCGCTCCTCGTGCTTCGACTTCTGTTCCATCTCCGATCTCGAGCCCTCTGCGGCCGTCCTCCTGTCAAGCCAAGCGATGATGTCGGCGAAGACGAGGTCGATGTTGGCTGGGGGTTCGGCGGACGTGAGCGCATGCCACATCCCAGGGTAGAGCTTCAGCGTTTTGTCCTCGCTCGACGCTGTTTCGTAGAGCAGTCTACTGACGGATGGATCCGTCACAATGTCATCCCCGCCATGCACCACCAAGAACGGCAGTGAAACCTGCAGAAAGCAGCAGCACACCTCTCTCATTAATCGCTGCATGCAGAGATGAAACCAAACCCTAATTTTTAAGGTTTCTTTCATTTACAAGGGCTTTTTCTTGATGTTAGTACTGTAGTCAGCTATTCTATTCCGCCTTATGAACGCGTTTAGTTGCTATTTAGCTTGACCTTCATCAAGTGATCGATCGCTATAGTCGACCACAGCTGGAGCAAAATAGTGGATGAAGAAAACGAAACAGAGAAGAACATACATGTCAAGAGACAACCATAAATTGAAGACAGAGACGTTGACGGAAAGAAAGATTAATTACCTGGTTTAGGTTCTTCTCGATGTCCAAGCTAACCATGAGGACCTCATGAGCGGTCTTGAGTCGTGGCCTTCCCTTGTAGCAGTATGGATTAGATCGAATCTAATGCAAAAAAAGACAGACAATAACCGAGTCTTAGACCGGAATGACGTGCGTTCACAATCCAAGTCGGGTGCATGCAAGCATCCTTTACTACCTCCTCTCTCTTTTCAGGAACTTTGAAGCCGATATCTATAATGTCTTTGGTAGGAACTATTCTCCATGTTGGTATGACGTTACACAGTTTCGTCAGAGTGCTGATGACGACAGGATGTGGCTTCATCTCATCAGCAATCTAAAGTAAAAGAGAGAGAGAGAGAGAGAGAGAGAGAGAGAGAGAGAGAGAGAGAGATTGTATTAAGAAAGGGCTGCAATCACAGTATGATTGACGGGCATTATGGATTGGAAGATGGAGGAAGAAGACAAAGAGTTAACCTTGCACATGGGAGCAACCAAAACAGCACCGTTCCAATAGGGTGGTTCCCTTCTGTGGAGGAGGAGGACCACGGCGCCTCCCATCGACTCTCCCAGGAGATACCTTGCTTTCTTCTTGTTCTCGCTTCGCTCTAACAAGTATGATCAAGATGGGCAGAAGAAGTAGGAGGAAACTTGAAGCGAATCGATGGTAGTAGATTTAGCTCATGGAGTTCATACGTACCGCAAACGCTGGTGAAGTGTTCGGAGCAGTCCTCGACCAGATTCTTAAAGCTCGGGATGTAGCCCTGCAACCCAGAGGACTTGCCATGGCCTTCGTAGTCTATCCCGTGAACTGCATAACCTGCCTTCGCTAGCCGAGTTCCAGTGTCTGAATCCAATACATAAGCCATCAACGATCTTTGATCCAAAAAGAACTTTGAATCAAAAGGCATGCAGCTAATACTGTTACCTTTCATGGATATGCTGCACTCCATGGCATAGCCTGGAAGAGAAAAGGTAGGAAAGCATATGAGGAGGAGAAGAACGCAGAGGTTATAAGGCCATGGTTGGCGTACGTACCATGGCACAGGAAGACTAAGGCTTTGGGTTCTTTCTTCTCCGGCAGCCATCTGCAGGTGAAAAGCTTCAGTCCACGAGAGTTGTTGACGAACTCCTGGAATCATACCAACGCATGAGCAAAACCAAAGGTAAAATCAAAGAAGAAAGAGAGAACTCTGATCACCAATTGCTAACCTCTTCGTACATGATACCGTCGACACCTGGAGCCTGTGACCCACCACAAAAAGTTCACATACTAACCAAAGAAAACAACGTACAAAAGACGGTGGGAGAGAAGAAGAACGTACCATGGCAGGGAAAGGAGGTGCTCCGATCGGTAAAGACGACAGAGAGGATAGGGGAAACCCTTGAGGGAATTATTCTAGTCCCTTAACTACGCTGTGTGTAAACTATGAATGAGCTGGGGGGCGATGAGGCCTTTATCTGCGTCACTTAGCATTCCTTGGCTATCAAGTAGCGTACCTTGACATCGGGATGCCAGCACGGGGATCAAGGAGATGATCGATCCATGGAGAAGCAGTCAAAGTTTCCGTGGGTCAAGGCGTTGGCAGACTTGTCCATCGCCGTCGGTTCAAGAATGGGGGGCGGAGATGGAATTGACACGGGGAACGAAGACGTGTCCGAATGGAACGGGAAATAATAGAGGGAAGTTGTTGGTTGACAACTCTTTCCGACGTGTAGACGTCACGCATTCGAGTCGGGATTTCCACTTCACGTCGTAGCATCAACGAACCATATGGCAAATCCAAGTCTCGATCTGCTCTTCTCAGTTTGCCGCCTGCTTGGAATGGCTTAATATCCCAACGCTCATGATGGCATGGCTTATCGGGTCAGGCAAGACGGAACGTTGGCGTCTTAGGAAGTCAAGTCGACCATCCAACCTTCAGCTAATGTGTCCTTCAACCGAGGTCAATGTAGTTGTGGTTGAAGATGGATCGAGTTGGCATTCGAACTCGGAGGTTATCTGTCAACTCGGAGGTTATCTGTCAACCCAATAGACGGAACGAGTTGGCATTTCAAGTAATTAAAGTTCATGTCAACCGTCCCTTTTGTATTGGTAGCAAAGTCTACGGCCAACTATTTCACGATATACGACTTGGTTGGTCCAAAGACGGTAGCTTAATCGCTACGTATCTCATCAATTTGGTGACGCTGACTTCTTGGCTTGAACTCTAAGATGGCACCAAAGAATAACCACAGCATCCTCGTGATCTTGAGGATGAGGCAAACCATTCATTCTTTACTCGAAAGTCAACAACTCAACTTGCAGGAAGCAGAGCTGTAATAACCTCAATAAATGATGTTCCACCATAATAAAAAATTTTACGATTCAAGACCTAAATCACTCCTACAAACTACTCCCATTGAATTAAAAGAAAGCATCACAGACGACAATTAAGAACTTGGACTAGACCAGACCTTAATTCGATCTAGGCTTTGATTGCATACCTCCTCGTCGGGAAGTACATCTCCTTTTTCTTCTGATGTTCTGTCTTCAAGGCATCCTGCGATCGGAACAAACAAACAAAATTTTCAGTCGATGTATGCCATTAGTGCTTGAAAAAAATCATTACACTGCCAAATGAAGAAGTAAAGACTGGATTTTTGTCGGTTGTCAAATTAAGATTGGAGAAGCCGTCTTTCCGCGGTAACCATAATAGCATCTGAATCAGCTTAACATGAAGATAACCACATGGTATATACGCTTCATCTAAACGACGATGCGAGATAACAATAATATCAGTCTGATAACAAGGATATCTTCGAAAACATCTAGTCTAGGATTGAAAAGTACCACTTTTACCGGTGCAAATATGACTGTCATGCAACTAAATTTACAGCTTATATGACATTGTACCACTTTTACCGGTTCTTTAACTTTAACAGTCAGTCCAAAATATTAAATTTTTTTTTTGTCTCATCAGTGTACGAAGCATGATGTACCATATTGGTGGACATACACTGATCTTGTTTGTTCCAAGCACAAATATCTTTCTGCTATTCCTGGTAGCTCCCTATTGGTCTTAGGAGAAACTGTAATTTCCAAGACTAACTAGGTGCAACCACAAATTATATCCTGTATGTTATGAAGTTCAATCATGTTTACGGTTTAGGGTTTCTCAAAAACCATAAATCAACTAAGGTGCCTGAGGTAGAAATCATGCCAGAGGCCAAAACTACATAAAAAACCGTGACGGCGAACTTGGGCAAGAAACCCTCTCAGGCCACCAATAACTAGATCTATCAGACACCCACCGATACATTTGTCAGGACCCAAGCCTGATGAGCTAACTAGTCTATCAACTTCGTTAGCTCCAAACCATTAGCCAAAATACTTAAACTAAAGTTGATAATAGTATACTCATTAAACTCTTATAAGCTAATCTTAGTCTTTAACCACTTCCGACGTGGGACTAATCGAGGTGTTACAATTTTCCTCACTCAAGGGCTTGACATTCTCATCAAGGCCTAGCATAGCTCAGGTCAAACCCTAGCATGATGCATGTGAGACGTAGTCCAATTGTGGCTCTACGCCGTGACGAGTCCTTTGATTCCATCCGCGAATAGCTCTTTCCTACTCAAGCCCCCTCATCATACCCAAATACTAGGTCGACTTTGATACCAAACGTTATGGCTCGAGCATGATGGGCTAACTGGTCTATTAACTTTGTTTGGCCCAAACCACTAGTCAAAATGCTTAAACTGAAGTTGATAGTAGTACACTGATTATACCCTTATAAGTCAACCTTAGTCTTGTCCACCTCCGTTGTAGTACTAATCGAGGTGTTACAACATTTACAATGATGTTGGAATTTCACATCTTGTTGACATGGAACTAGTTTGCTCTACAACTATTATTAAACAATTGCAGATCAATTGTTAAACAAAAATTTACTCATCAATAGGAACTACACTGAGAAGAATAAACTTTATATTCTTTAATATAAATACCAATGAATACATTTATATTCTTTAATATATAACATCATATAACATCATACATTTATATTCTTTAGTATTTTTACAGGTGAAAGACCCATGTCCCTCACCTACTCAAGTCACACCATATCTTTAAGTTAGGTAGTACCATAATGAAGATCATAAATGTTAAACATGGCATCCTCTCTTACACTGGTAGGCCACGGTTACCTTCTCTTTTCATCATCTAACCCTTCTCCTCATCATAAATGACACTAATCGCAACCTTAACTATATTTAAGTACTGAAGAGTCTAGTACACTCCTAGATATCCATTTGTGCCCACAAGATATAGTATACATTCCATGTCACCAATAACCAACCACCAGTAATATAACATGTGAAAAATTACATGTTTGCACCAATCTACACTAAGTTTGTTGTTTAATGACATGAGGGCACACGAATTCCCCACTTTACCAATCACCACAATACTATGCCAACTAACACATGACCAAAATTGACTTGCCCATTTGTCAGCACTGCCAGCATGGCTCAGCGCAGAGTCCATGTTAACCCGTGCCAGCCAATGCAGATCAGCATGACACTTTATGCACAACCATGTAGTCAAAGGTTCAAGCTACACAAACATATAAACTAATTGATGAGGATGGAAAACTAGATAAAGGAATCAAGTGATCACCAGAAAACCTTGTTTGGCAGTTACACTTTGATTAAATAAATGTTTTGGTAGGAATGACCAATAGCAAAAAAGAGTAGAACATATAGAGGCACCGTTATAGGAAAATATCATTGATGTTCTGGACAGCTCGACATGATTCTGGCCTGTGTGCATAGGGATAGCCGAGGTGCCTCTGAGGTGGAAACGTCGAGCTCTGCCACCTGCACAAAGATCGAGGTTGAAAGAAGTTTCTCAACTTGATCCCTCCAATGCCCAAGTTAGCAACCCCAAGTAAGTGAGTGTGATAATATGAGTGGTAAAAAGTGATCCCTCCTGATAACTATGTTAAAAGCGAGCTTTTATACCTAATAACGAATGTATAAAATATTCTATAAAATATTTCATAGGAAGACAATCCTTGACCATTTGCCTTAATTTGTCTTTTTGTCAATGTAAGAAACAAGGGCGAAGGTAGCCTACAACTGTTGCTTTAAACTCACGTCCGCATGGATAGACAAAGGGAAGACAAGTCTTGTCCTCGAGGCGACTAGGCTACCACATCAATATCCACATGTTGAATGGTCATTGGTCCAAATACTTTCCCTATCAGGCACCATAACATGAAATGAAAGAAGAAGTTGATATTTGCATATGTTGCGGTTTCAGCAAGCCAATGCTTGATACAAGATCTTGAGAAAATTGCTAACATCTAAACTTGTGCTACGTCTTTGACACCAAAGGATCAGATGCCTCAGTAGCAATTCGAATAAATCGTGATCACCTCCTTATCTGAAAGGTTATTGGTCTTTTCTAAGATACAAAGTAGCACCAACGAGTATATGATCACTCTTCTACTCTGCCCACATTCATATCACTCACCTTTTTCACACCATATATCCTACATGGCGCGGCGCTGTAAAGACGATCAAAGGCTAAGCCATTATCCCGAAGATATAAGGTAGCTACTGCGAGCATTACCTGATACTTGGAAAGGGGACAGCGGATCGCACGAGTCCTTTTAGGCCTGAGGTCGAGCGGGATGTGCTTCTTCTTCTTGTATGCCTCCCTCAGCGCTGCCTTCTGCTTCTGCGAGGTGACCGTCAGCACCCGCGCAATCGACAGCCTCACCACCTTGCTGCGAAACGAAAGATGAGACCAGAGAGCACAACGAGAGCTCCACGGACGCGGTCGATTAAGGGATAAGGAGATACAACGACTTACATCTTGGAGAGCTTGTTGGGAGCACCGCCGGTGACCTTGGCGACGCGGAGGAGGCTGAGCTCGTTCTTGAGGTCCCTGAGCTGGTTATGCAGCTCCGCCTTGGTCTTCCCCCGGAGCTCGTGAACCTTAATCCTCCCTGCGACAGGGTATCGGCGTTCAGATCCAAGCAGTGCAACCAAGAAAAGGAATTCACAGAGATCTTTATCTTACCCATTGGATCGGGATGTCTTCTTCTCCGCGGCTCTTCGCCGGATCGACCGAGCCCCTAAACCCATACCGCGGAGCAAGCCCCTTTGGGACCCTAGCCACGAGATCCCCGCCGTCGATTGTGTTTATTGGGCCTAAATTGGGCATTACATAGGCTTACATTCTTCGACTCGGTCTACGAAAGGAGATACGATTCTTGATCAGATGGCGTATACTTCTAAAACGTAAGCTGCTTAAATTTGAAGCTTACACACGAAGCTATTGTGATGCCGTATTGGCTGATTGGAATGCATTCCGGTGAGAATTCCTGTACTCAAATCGTCACCCATCTTAAAGTTAATCAAACGGACAGGCTTAAGCGTGAAGGCGATGGCCGGCCCACCGACTCCCCGTCCTCTGTTTCGATAATACCTCGCCGACGTCGCCCCAAGGATTCAGGTTCGGTCGCCATGGCGGGATCTCTGCGGCCTCATATTGTCCTGCTCGTCTTCCTCACCGTCCTCGCTTCGATCTCTTCGTGTATGGCGGAGATTAAGAACCTAAAGATCTCCTCCGACTTCCGGGCGATCATCCTGTTCGAGAAGTTCGGCTTTACCCGGCGTGGCGAGGTGGCCGTTGCTGTTTCCGACGTCTCCATCTCCTCCACCCTCGGCGCCCCCGACCACTCCCTCCTTGGCTTCTTCCTCCCCTCCGACGAGAGCCTCATCCAGGCGGCTTACGATTCCCAGCATGGCCGCAGCTCCTACTCTGACACTAAGCCTAGCCCCAATACTGGATGCGTCCTCCATAGCTCCTACGTCCGCCTCCTCTTCACCTTCGATGAACTCTCCCCGGCGCCCTCAGCCGCATTAAACCGCTCCTTCCCCATCTCCCACCCGGACGAGTACAGCCTCTTCTTCGCCAACTGCGCCCCAGAGACCGCGGTCACCATGTCCGTCCGCACCGAGATGTACAACACCCGTCCCGATGGTTCCCGTGACTACCTCTCCGTCGGCCAGTCCCCCGTTCCCTCCCTGTACACCTTCTTCGCCGCCGCCTTCTTCGCCGTGTGGATCCACCTCGCCCTTTTCAAGAACCGCCTCGCCGCCCACCGGCTCCACCACCTCATGGCCGGTCTCCTCTTCACCAAGGCTCTCAACCTCATCTTTGCCGCCGAGGACCAGCACTACATCCGCCAGACCGGCACCCCCCACGGGTGGGACGTCCTATTCTACCTCTTCCAATTCCTGAAAGGCGTCCTCTTGTTCACCGTCATCGTCCTCATCGGCACCGGATGGTCCTTCCTCAAGCCCTTCCTCCAGGAGCGAGAGAAGAAGGTGCTCATGATCGTGATCCCGCTCCAGGTCGTCGCCAACATCGCGTCGGTCGTGATAGGCGAGACCGGACCCTTCATCCGGGACTGGGTCTCCTGAAATCGGGTCCTCCTCCTCATCGATGTCATCTGCTGCTGCGCCATCCTGTTCCCCATCATCCGGTCAATCAGATCGCTGCGCGAGACTTCAAAGACGGACGGGAAGGCCGCGAGAAACGTTGCCAAGCTCACTCTTTTCCGGCAGTTCTACACTGTGGTGATCGGGTATCTGTACTTCACGAGGGTTGTGGTGTACGCGTTGAAGACGATCACGTCTTACAAGTATCGGTGGGTCAGCGTGGCAGCCGAAGAGACAGCGAGCCTCGCCTTCTACATCTTCATGTTTTACATGTTTAGGCCGGTGGAGAAGAACCACTACTTTGCGCTCGATGACGAAGAGGAAGAGGCCGCGGAGATGGTGCTTCGCGACGAAGAATTCGAGCTTTGAATGACAGTGAATTCCCAGTATGCCTGTATGGGAATGTTGTAACATGGATAAAAACTATAGTTATAATTTTGGACGTTTCATCTTTATCTTCTTTTATTTAAGCATCTGAGTTATCTTATATTTGTCTTCTATTTATATGGCTACGAAGCATCCATTTGTCTTCTATTTATATGGCTATGAAGCATCTGTAACTTATGGATCACAAGATTAATAATTATTCACCTGGTTAATTGCATTTCTCTTATCAAGACTTCAGGAATGTAAAAATCTAGAATAAACTCTCTTATTTCTAAATTATATTTAACATTCCGATTCCTACATCTTTAAAAGTTATATTAGCATCTCTATACTTACGAAACTGAAATAATAAGATTTATTAAAAATTAAAAAAAAAATATTGGAGTAACAAGATTAAATATTTCATTTTCATAAGTATTAGAATCCCAACGTAACTTTTAAAAATATATACACAAATCAATACTAACAACTAAACGCAAGATAAGGAGACAGTTTGCAGTTGCATAATCAAAATGTGTTTTACCTGAGCTAAGCCTGAAAACAGCAAATTAATCCCCACAAAATCGCCATAAATGACTAAAACAGAGGAGAGATTGAACCGAATAAGCTGCTGCATGAAGGTTTAAAGGAAGAGTAAAGTGTCGTTCTGCCAAAATGGGGCCAATCAAGAGATAAGAGTTGTAAGCATGATTAATCTTCATCTTTCTTAGGCTTCCTGTAGGATTCTTCAATGTGTTTGGCAACGAAAACGTATGTATCGAAGAGCTTCTTTACGTCTGGGATGTTGTAATTCTGCGCAATGTAAATACCGCAACCAGTTCCCAGTAGAAAAGAGAAACTTCTCCTTATTATCCCCATTTTTAATCACACTGTTATTTAGATATCAAAAACATATATCAACCTCCAAAGAAAAGGATAAAGGATAAAGTAACGCTCTGATAATACTTAAGAAAGCAAACAAGAATTGGGAAACACAAGGATACAAGATAGATATCAAAGAATGACTACAAGACATAGTGTTGTTCTTAATATTGTCAACAAGGCATTAATATCAAAAATGAATTGGAGGCTGCGGAGGAGAGCACTCCAAATGAATGAATCCTTCCCTATTGACTTCCATATAATATGATCAAGTTGCTTAAGAATCAAAGTAAGTCAATTGGACCATCTAAACATGAAAAAGACTGATACATCTACTGGTTATCCGGAAAAAAAAAAAAGACTTGAAATGAACTTAAAAATGCAATTACGAATTCATCTCATGCAGCTTCATCATTTTAGCTGGTACTTGTGCTTTAAAACCCTACTATAACAATGACGGTAAACCCCAAAGATGTACTGAAACCTAAATTCAACCAATATTATCATTTATTTTGACGATGCTTTGAATTTGCACACAACAGCTACAGATTTCTACAGTTCTATACCTCTCGTCCTAATAACTTCAAGAGAAGCTAATAAAATATGAGCGTGTTTTAGGATTGTCCTCTTCCATTATCACAATATACCGAGAGTGTTTTTGTTCCTTATCTTTGGTTGCCTCACCAAAACAACTAAACAATGGGGCTTTGTCTTGGAGTGGTTGAGTTGAAGAGGACTAATTACATATTATCCTTTATAATTAGTTATCTTTAGCATTTCAATCTCTATATTTTTAAAAATTATATTAGAATCTTTATACTTACGGAAACAAAACATTGAGATCCCTATACAGGATTAAAAAGATATTTTTACATAATTAAAAATCAAGAGAGAGTAGTTTTATTAGAACAATTGAGTTAAATATTTCACTTTCGTATGTATATTGATTTTAATATAACTTTTGAAAGTATAGGAACCGGGATGCTATAAATAGCTAATTACATGGGTAATATATAATTAGCCCTTCAAACCATAACAATTAGCTTATAGTTTCAGTACGTTAAAGCTCTGGCTTGCAGTCTACCAATTCCATTCCAACTTATAGATCAATTGAACTGGCTAGAAATAGGATTGAATCTGCCATTTCAACCTTATATTAGCCAGATTTTACACCCGCTTACCGGTTTGATGGAAGGGAAGAAGAAGAACAGAATAAAAAGAGAAAGAAGAGAAAAGCAACAACGAAAAGAAGAGAGAGAGAGAGGTCAGTCCTAGGTTGCCCTAACTAAAGAAAGAGAGGGGAAAGAGTTTGTCTCGAACATTCAAACACTGGAGTTAGTATTGCCGGGTTCATTTCATCAAACATCTTGAGTGTCAGAACTCGAACCCATGCAATGATCATCTCGTCAAAAGCCACAAAGTGCTACGTTCCTTGATTCAAAGGTTTCTAGAAAGAAGCCTAAATTTGAAACCCTCGAAAGACCACTGACCATCAACAGCATCAACGCCACAATAAAAGATCAATGCATCAAGAACATCGATATGCTATCAATTCTCCCGTTTCCCATATTTTCCTAAATCGGATGAAATGACCCCTATTTTCCCTCGGAGAAAAGAAACAAAAGGAAGGAAGCAAAAAAAGAAAGAAAGCAAGAAACAGAACTAGGAATTTGATTTACAAAACAAGACAAATCTCACCGGATCGTGCAGAGAAGAAGGCGACGAGACAAAAGCAGAGGAACGCCGGTGATGGCCGCCGCCACTGCCGTTCCTCCCTCACTACTTCGCGACGACGAACCGGCCTGCGAACTTGACCTCGACGACGGGCCGGATTCTCGAAAGGCACGTTACTGGCTCCGCCCCTTTAACGGATCTGATCTGGATCAAACCAAAACCATTAGGGATCCGGCCCATCGCTTCAGCAAACCCGATCCGTTTCACGCCACCGGCAATTGTCATGACGTCAGTTCCATCCCGTCTTTCATACCAAAAATATATTTACCATATTATAAATATAACTAAAAATATTTATTTACTTAAAATATTATATTTAGTAATATGGTAGTAAAAGGACAATTTGTTTGAAATCGGCAGAAACAGAGCGACGCAGCTTCGATGACGTAATGCTTTGCCGGATCCGGAGGGGGAGCAATTAATACAAACCCCAACCGGCACAGACGACAAGGTGGTGCGACCATCCGCATGACGCCGTCGTCGTCCGTTTCCGCCGCGCGACCGGACGTAGTTCACTCGGCAACGTCCTATGCCACGTGTGGGTCCCACACCACCGACCAAGCCCGGACGCCCATCAGCTTGGGCCCCACCCGTCCTCACTCCATTTATTCCATTCTTCTACCCACGAACGAACCCCACCACTCGTCCCGGATCCCAACCCGCTTGCTTTAAGAGATGCGCGACCTTTCGAATTCAACGGTAAGGATTCGTCTGTTGCCTCGATGATTTACCAGCCGCGGCGGAACTCGTGCTCTCATTTTCGCAACGGCAGCGGAGAGGCGCCCGCGCAGCGACTTAAGTCATTCCTCAAGTCGCAACTGGCGTCCACAGATGCATGCACACGAAGCTTTTGTCCGTCCAGGATCATCCGCTCGGAGCCCTCACCAATCAACATCCATCCATTGCATCCCCGAGAAGAGAAACGGACAACGATTGCTATCATCAATCATCGGGTCGCAGCTTCCGTCGCGGCTTACGCCACGAATGCCACCCCGCGGAATGCCAAGCGCGTTCCGCCCGGCCCGCGATCCAATGGCGATTAAGCCGTGCACGGCGTGTCCATTGAATTTGATTCAGGTTGACTCACTTTCGATCTGAATCCAAATAGTGGACAGCCACGACGACCATCACGTGAGTTGGATTTGGGCAGTGCGTCTCGAAGCGCAAACGCCAAGTATACTTGGGAACGTTGAAGTGGCCTCCACGTGTGGCACGTGTCTCGAGGACGCCCGGGGACCAACAGCGTTCTTAATTAGCCGTGCCATGTGGTGGCCAGCGCGGTGGGGCCCGGGAGCGTTACGTTTGCGCGCTACGCGTCAAGCTGGGTGGGGCCCTCGCCCGCGCGTGCCCCATCACCGCTGCCGCTTTAGTTTGGTCGAATCACCCAGGGAACGTTCCTTGGGTGACGTGTTCTCTCACATGCCCGACGTGTGTGCGAATCCAATCACATCAAACCATTTAATTTCTTGCGCCACCTTCCAATGCCAATCCTCTGTCTGCGTGTCAGGCAAACACTCTCATAGTTTGTGCGAAGCCCAATCATTCCTCCCTCTGCGTCTCTCTCTCTCTCATTTATTAGCGAGTGCAGCGGCGGAGTTGGCTCTTCTCCTCTCCATTGCGCCCACTGCCATCTCCCGGCGAGAGAGAGAGAGAGGCACCTGCTGGAGTGGCTGCTGCCTATTTTGATCTCTCGCAGGTCGTTTCTGCTGCATGCGTAGAGATTTCTAAAGCTCTTAACCGATCTCCCAGTTCTTGTCATTTTTCATTGCTTGGATTGAAGGTTCGTCTTACTGCCTGAGACCTGTAATCTCCTTAGCTAGTGATACTCCCATTCCAAGCTGAAAATTTTCAGTACCAGCGCATGATTTGCTTTTCTTTGTGTATTATAGATCGGCCTTCTGAGTTATTTAGGTCATGCAATATGCTGATGTGGGTTCTGATCTTGGCATTTTTCAGAGTAAACACTGCAGTGGATATTCCAACGCATGGAGAAAATGATTTCTCATCATGTGTTTCTCTGTATCTTTCTTGAGTGAAGGCCATCATCTCTCTTTCGCTTTACCCGTCTCAGGTCTCAGCAGAAGCTATCTGTGGGTGTTCTTCTCTCTCCTCTTTCCATTTGGATGATTCGAAAGATCTTGAGCTGGTTTTTAGGGTTTGCAGATACACCCCCTCACCTTACTTCCATCCTGAAACAGAAATCCTTTCAGAAAAGGCCTCTATTTGTTTTCTGAGAGGAATTCTGCACTGGAAATTGGTACAGACAATTTCCTATAAAATCTGCACTGCTCAGAGTGACATCTAATTCGATCATTCTTTTAGTTTTGATAACTCTTCTTTTGTTGTAGTTGTATGACCACATGCACTTTTCCTTCCTTCTTTGCTACAACACATCGACTGTAAGATCAGACTTGGGTTTCATTCTAGATCTTATATTTCCCATGTCAAAAGTTCTATCTGATTTTGTGCATCCTTCTTGGATTGTGTTGATCTCTTGACGAACAACATATGATAGGATCCGTAAATTGTGAACTCAAAACCTAATTTATACTGCTGGTGTGTGTTGATTTCTTCTTCTTCTTCTTCTTCTTCTTCTGTGCACCCACAGGCAATGGCTGGCCATGGATTGATCCAGCAGCAACAGGAGAGGAGGCTGAGGCCTCACCCGGAGCGAGACCTGAAATGCCCCAGATGTGCCTCCACCAACACCAAGTTCTGTTACTACAACAACTATAGCCTCTCCCAGCCCAGATACTTCTGCAAGGGGTGCAGGAGGTACTGGACCCTGGGAGGCTCTCTCAGGAACGTCCCTGTGGGAGGTGGCTGCAGGAAGAACAAGAGGTCTTCCTCCTCCTCCTCGTCATCATCATCTTACTACTCAAAGAAGGCGCAAGAACTAGACCTCACATCCACCCCACTTCTCCCTACTCTCATCCCTCCACCTCTTACATATGACCCAAGTGACCTCACTTTTAGGCTTCAAAAGCAGCCACCCATGGTGCAGTTTGGCCTGGATGACAATAGCCACAACCTTAATCCGGCGTTATCTGCTCCGGCCCCAACAAATGGTTTTCTCGACACCCTCGGGCATGGATTTCTTGACTTCACAAGACCAATCGGGTTAAACCACCTTTACCATGGGTATGGAGTCAATGGCAGGCTGGAGGAGATTGGTGGGGATAAGGGAGGACTGGGTGGTGCAACAACCGGCCAAGGATCGTGCGAAGCCATGGATGGAGGGGATACCAAAGCGTTCACAGGTCTCTCGTGGCAGGAAGGAAGCATGGATTCGGCAAGGGATTGTTGGAATGGTGCTGTGGGTTCTTCCTTGCATGGACTGATCAATAGCTCCATGCTGTGAGGTGCACAACTATAGATAATACATCTGTATGATGAATACTTGTGGTCTCCTTCGATGTTCTTGATGTTATTGTGAGAGTGGTGACCTAAAAAGCATGCAGGAAAACCGAGACATCGATCGTCATCAGTTTGCAGTCCCCGTGGCTGCATTATTGTTGGTGGCAGCAGCATCATACGCATGCTTTACGGAAAGAAACACTAGTTCTTTGTGGGCAAAGGAAACTGGTCATTCGTCGAGCAAGAGAAGGACAGTTGCAGTATTAATGAACAGCTCTCGAAAGACGAAGTGGGTGGTGGTGTTCCCAAAAAATTCTCTTCATGATTGCCGCTCTCATCACGCTGGTCTGCTTTCTCCGTGGAAACGAAAGCGATGGGATTAACCTTTTGCTTCGTAACCCGCAGATATAGAACAGAGGCACAGCTAATCTAAGTTGTCGACACCCTCTTCCTTGCATGCCACCTAAGCATGATGGTGACATTAAGCATTCGGAGAAACTTGGTGTTTAATAGCCTGCGCTTTTTTCCTTAAGGAACAATAACAATAATAAAATTATAATTTTTAATTATTTAAAATCAACTATTTCATTGAGAAATATAAAAAAATTATATATTTAATTAAGTTGAGAGCACTTAAATTTTTATTTATAGATTTTGTTAAAAAAATTTTAGGTCTTCCTCTATCTCAAATAATTATCAATGATAATTATAAATCTCCAATAATTATAAGTTTTTTTTATTATAAACATTCCCATTTAAGTTTTCTCAAAATTCACTTTTGGTTTGATTATTCAATCCGACTTAAGGAACATAACCGCTAATAATATTCAAAACATATTATTGTTTTATAAATTGTAGAACTATAATTCTCTTTTCAAGTCTTTTTATAACATTATTCATACGATCCTTATCGACAATAATTCCTATACTAACTTTTCTAATATATTAAATTTTAAATCGAGTATTATTAAGATTTTTTCTCTACTCATATAGTCTCTTGTAAATAAATAATATTTATTTTTCTTTTGATCATAATATTTATCAATTTTAATCTTTTATCTAAAAGTATTTCTATATTCTAGGATTAACTACTTTATTTATTAGTCTAAAACAATGAGAGAACCCTCACCACCTACTAGGCACCACATTCGGACAACCTTCTAACCTATCATTTGTAATTCGGGATACTTAGGTGGTGAAGGTGCATCGCGTCACTTTCGAGTGACGATCTAGTTCTATATTGAAATCGATTAAGATCTATATTAATGAGATCTAACATAGTTTTACGCTGATTATCAGTAACCTAATGTAACCCTCCACTTTTTTTTTTATCATGGCTTGGGATCGACATTGACGGTGTTACGCAATGCTAGGTACCAGCTTTAGGTACCTTCTAGGTGTTAATTCATCGCTGTTAGTTCATCTAAAAGCTTCAGCCTGTAGATGAGATGAGTTTATGTTCTCAATACTTAAAGATGAATTAAGTTGTCCTTCATATTCTCGCATGATAGTACCTCGTTCAGAACAAATGAAACCTTTGCTCACCGGTAATGACGAGGATTCCTTTTTGTTGGAGCTTCAGAATCTTGGATATATTAAGCAGGACCGGAAGCAATATGTCAGCATTTCGACGACATTATAAAATATATAATTTGATGAGATTAAAAATACACCATAGTCCATAATGATATAATCGAATGATATGTTATATCTAAACAAAGCCATCCATCATCTTTTCTTACTGGGAATTAAAGATGGCTCCTAAAGTTCTCTTTTCTTAGAAGGACACATAGATAGATAGCTTATTTGTTTGGCATACACTCCTAAAGGGTGAACAATACAGTTCCTTAGCCGAGTGATTAGAAGAAGAACAATAATGTATGCATGGCATTACTCCTCGATAACACGAATACAAAAGTATGAGACGACTACAACTATGTAAATTTCACTAATACACACTGCTAAGCCATGATTGGTTAGGATGCATTTCGGAATAAAGAAATATTAAAGTGCATTAACATTCCGCCAATCCCATCTCAATGTCACAAATAACCATATAAGAAGAACACTTCCTTTTCTGCGGTATAACCAAATAATCAACAGCAAAAGATTTACTGAAGATTCACACAGTGTTGCAGACAAAATCAGGTGCAGCAGTTGAAAGAACAATGGCATTTTTCCCAGAAAACCACTAATATGCATAAGACAGGATAAAGACAGCAGCTTCCAACCGTACGTGGAGCAGAAGAACATTTATATCACGAAGACCACTTAGACAACAATCGAGTCAATTAGACATTCTCATGTTGATTATTATGAACTCCAAATGACCAAAGTAATGTTTGATTATTATGAACTCCAAAGGAGAACCCTCTTTGTACTAAGGTCACCTTACATCTTTGTACAACATGCACTTGAATTTCTCCAACCTAATTTTTGAGACAAATCAAGAAAAAAATGGAAGTACCTTAATGGCATATCAACAAGAAACCCTTGGGAGATGATCTAGCCAGCTTGCTCATCCACCTCACCAACTTTTGGAGTTAATGCTTCACTTCTAACTTGCATAGTACTACCCAAGACAATTACCCTCTCTGTCTCTGCTTGTTCTGAAAGAAAAGCATGGATTTGCATAAACATCAGAATCTCAACACTGCGTAAACAAAACACCAACTAATAATAGGTTACAAACGAACCAAGTGAAGAGGGAGCATCTAAATTTCTAAGGCTGTGTTTGGTTTCGTGGCTAAGGAGGGTTAAACTAATCATTGCGGTAAACCAGGGAAACGAGTTTAACCGAGATAATCTAAGATAAAAGAACCCATGTAAAATGTGGATTCAAATAACAATCTCTCATTTTCGTTGCTAACCCATATGATCCAATTAGTTAGGTAGCACAGTGCTAAAAAAAGTCCCACATTTGGATAGTTTAGTTATTTTAACCCCAAATTAAATGCAGTTAAGAAAACACATCAACTGTGAGAAGCACCAGGTGTCAATAGATGAAGATTACCTGAAATGTCCATGTTGCCATGTGTCGCATCACATTTGTCTTCTGGGTTTGGTGTCTGGATTAGAATCAAGACACCCTCTTCCTTGGCTGATGCCACAACTTATTGGCACATGGAGGTTATTGGGTTGGTTGGCATCGCTACAATCTATGAGAGTAGTGTATCACTTTTGCCTTGTAAATTGGTGTTGGGCAAAGAATGGGACATTGATGGATGAGGTTTACTGAGAACATTTGTGTTGCTGTTCTCTGTCTGTAATGCATCACTTTTTGATTCGGAGATTTGTGTCCCGAGAAGAGTTGGACTTTGATGAACGAAGGTCACCAGGAATACTTGTGTTGCTACTCTCTGTGAGTGTGGCATCACTTTTGTCTTGGAGATTGGTGTTAGGAGCACTGGATATTGATGAATGTAGATTATCTGGAATGTCCAAGTCGCTACTTTCTACTAGTAATGAGTCCCTTTTGTCTGGTAGCTTGGTCGCTGGAGAAGTATCGGGTGTTGATGGCAAATATCTAAGTCGATAACTAAGAAGTGATGGACCAAAAATGCTATACTTCCCTGCACTACTGAAAGCGATTTCTGCATCAGCACGCCTCTTAAAGACTACTTTCACACGATTGTTCCTTCGTTGAACTTCTGTTGCTGCTTCCTTTAGGGGTCCATAACGACTGAAAACCCTAATCAGATCAGTTTCAGAAGGAAGAGACTTTGATCCACTAAAATTTAAAATCAATGCAGTTGGTGTGCACTCCTCAACTATCTTCTCCTCTATGCTGATTACTGACCTATCTGTTGGTGGAGTTTGCCTCACATTTGGACTTACTGTTCCAACTTGTAGATGTTCTGTACCTTGCAGAATGGAGACCAGTGTAGGAGTAGATGTTTTTCCTGAAGTTCCCCTCCTCTTTCTTTGACTGCGAGTATGAGCTTCTTTACTTCTGGCAGGGCTGTCGTAAGAAACCAAGTCAGACCAATAAGAGTCCTGCATGTGATCGAGTTCTGTCATCTCAGAAAAAGCTGATTGAATGTCGACTTTCCTTTTCCTACCCCTTCTTACCCCAGATTTCTCAGGATGTTTCTTTTGACATGCAGAACTAGAAACACAATAGTCCCTGAATTCAGTGAAGAAACTAATTATAGTAGATAAAAAACTGTATCCTTTTATTGGATTTCTTCCAACTATGCGTAACTGTGACAACATTTCATCTGGAGAAGAGTAATCCTCTGAAATGTCTATCCTAAGTTTTGGACTCTGCTTAATATTATGGCTAAAGCCATCAGAAACAAACATATCAAATATATTATCATTCTTGGAGACATTCTTCATGGATGTTTCATTATGACTTTTGAGAATAGGTGAAGACCCAGTCAACTGGCTTGCAACACGACGGATGCATTCTCCAATCTTAAAAGAACTGCTAATAGCTGGCGATGGTTGCTTAATTTCCAGATCTCCTAATGAGTCAAGCCTCTTTTTCTTACCACTCCCCGAATCAGATGAATCAGAATCCGTAACCTTGCTCTTCTTGCTAGAAGAAATTGGAACTGATTCAACATCTCTCATACCAGACTCAATTTTTGCACCATTTGCAAACTGACAATATTCAGCTTCCATCAGCTCAGACAAGCTCTTTTGTTTTTTGCCATCCTCCAATATATGCTTTTGATTATTGAAGTAGCTCCCTCTTACTCTTGATTTCCGTTTTCCGTACACTAAATCTGAGAGTGTAGGATTTGATTGTTCAACGGTTACTTCATAAATCCTATCAGATTTAGATTGTGGAATATCGGCGCAGCTCTCAGTTAAATCGTCGTCAAACTGGAAAGAAGAAAGTTTAGGATAGCCCTTAGACCTGTAAAATGCATTCAACTGTGCATTAGCCGTCACAAGCTCCAGTTTATTAGTCCTCCCACTGGAAAACTTAGCTAAAGTCTTTACATAACCAAGAAGTCTGCCAGGCTGAAAATAGCTTAAGATAGCAGACCTGTCAAAAGTGTAGCCGTTGCTACCCTCACGAATGCCAGAATTCTCAACCTTTTGGTAACTAATGCCGGCATTAGCTGCTTGAGGGAAACAAAAACAAGTCATGCCCAAGCCTATGCGCCTAGAAAGCTCATCTAATGCACCTTGTACAGCACCCACAAACACATCTGAGCTACTCTGCTTTTCCATTTGTGAGAAAAATGTCTCAAAATGCTTTAGCTGAGAGACATCACACCAAGCAAATGTTTTGTCCCCGAAATAGGCCACAAGAAAATTGTCCTTTTTTTGGTATTTTAATGCTAAATCTGATGCATCTGATGGATCACAAATTTGACCAGGCCACCAAGGATGACTCTTGACTTTACCCCAAACCAGATCAGATGTGGAGAAACCATCCTCATCTTTATAAGGCACGTGGTGCAAAGCACGCTGGTCCTTATCCTTGATGGAAATTCCAGGTCTTGCAGCCGCATGTTTAACAGTTTGCTTATCTGTTCCCTTCGAGTTCTCCTGTTCATCAACCACCATCTCCTGGTCACCATTTGCATCTACATCAGGACTAGCATTCACTGAACTCTCCCGGGGCACAAGAGGCAATTCCAAGACAGACGAGCTGCCTTGATCATTATCCGGCATCGACAAGTCACCCACCACAGTTTTCCCATCCAACTCCTGTGACTCCTTGTCCTGATTGACCTCCAAAGTAAGGACATCCACCCTTTCACTAGTTATAACAGAAGACTTGAGAATCATTGCTTCATTCTGATAAGTGGTTCCAGGTCCAAGAACACCTTCCGTTGCATGAAGATGACTATCAGCTACAGTATGGTTCACCACCTCATTCGGAAAACTTTTATTCTGCTTCGCAATAGATAGACTATACCCAGGGAGATTGATTCCACTGCTCATCTCTATGACATCAACCTGGGCTCTTCCCCCATCAGGTGTTCCCTCCAACCTTTCAGTGTCCACCTTGACAAAAGCAACTGGTGGATCAGCTTCAGCAGCCATCATTGCACATCCTGCATCCAATGCATCAGATCCCAGGTCGATCTCGGTAGCATCAATATGTCCATCAACAAAATCATGCTTGGTCACATGACTCACATTCTCCGGACATGATACACCACATCTAGTAGGTTCACTTTTGTCACTGATCTCCACAGCCCCACCTTTTACATTCCCCTGATCTGCCACACACTCCAAATTGTCAGCTTCCACCCCTGTTTGATTCATGGAAGATTTGCTCCCTGATAGACATCCTACATTTACAAAAACAGCTTCCGACTTCTCATCATCGCAAGATCTCTTTTGTCTTTCACCGCTTACATAATCCACCGTATCCTTTTCAGGCTGTAGCCATCCAACCGTGATAAACTTCTTATCTGTACAAGATGAATGTCCTTTTCTGGCTGCAGTTTGGTTGCTGCTCTCTGAAACTTCGACCTGAATAGCTCCTGGATCTGATGCATCGACCAATCTTTTGACTTTATCCACATCAAAATCAGCAGATGCTAGTGTTGCTAGATTTTCTGCAGCACATTCTGCATGCTTTGCACCAACTGAAAGGTCATGAGAGCAACGTGAGTCATCTTCACTCAAAATATGTCCGCCCACTGAGTCACACCAGATTGCAGCATTTGATGTAGTCTGTTCCTTCTCTTCGTGAGATATAACTTCCCTCACAAGCACAACGCCATTTTCATTCTTTAATCCATTATCCTTTTCTCCATCAACATTTGCATTGATGTCAATGAAAAGATCTTTGACGCCTTCAACCTCGTTGAGATCAAGGGCATCCATTGTTTTTGCAGACTCAATAACAATTTGTGTCTCCATAACTTCTGATCGTTTCCTGACGTGACCTCCAGATTCATCTTCGGCTACCAAACAACTTTCGTCTGCTTCATCTTCAGTAGCAGGAATCACGCTCTCAACCAAATTTCGAGTCATCAGATCATTCTCTGAGTTTGGTTTCTCCACGAAAGAAGACTCAAATTTTTTGGTAGATTCAACTTCATTGCTGGTGTTTACAGACTCCGCCGGCTCAAACTTGTCTGGCACGGTCTCAACCTCTGCAGTTGAGTTCCCTGTCTCTTCTACCACATTGCTTTCAGGATTCTGATCACCTTTGAATCCGTGACCCAGGCAACTGTTACTCCCCTCATCTTTTGCATCGTTTTGCATCTCTTCCCCAACTTCGGCAGCACCACCACACCCCATGATCTGTAACCCAGCTTCATTCGCTCCACGAGGAATCTCAAGACCCCGGCCACCGGTGTCCGCAACACTCGTGTCCTCCGCGGCATTCATCATCGCATCTTGATCCCCAGATGGAGCATTTCCCGCCTCCCGTGGAATCGAATCCCCGTCGCCTGTACCAGCCAAACAACCTCCATCACCATCTTCCCCGGCATCTCCAGCCACGTTCAGGTCAAGGCCTCCGATGTCCTCCATCGCCGAGTTGGAGGTCATCGGATAAGAGAATCCCTGGAAGATCCTTCCCTCTGCCGTTTCACAAGTCACCTAACCGATTGATATCGAAACGGAAATCCCAACAACTTCTTGAACACATCGCGAAACCCTAGAATTACATACGGAAAACGAAGAGACGAAGATCAAGGAGGATCTTTGGGGAGAATTACCTGCATTCGGTGGCGTCGACGTGCAGCAGATCGATCTTTGGAGAGATTAGGAGAGGACGAGCGGGGGTGGAGAGGGAGGTCGACTCGAAGAGAGAGGAGGAAACGTTTCCAGGTGTCGAATGCTCGTCCCTATCGGACCAGCTGCACCAAATCGAGGGTTGCGATCCTAGTACCGCCGGTGCCCTTACCTTTGCCGCGGGAGGAGGCACTGTAACCGCTCTACCAAGGAGACACGTACGCTGGCGGTGATCGTAAATAGGTTACAATTGAGCCGCCACGGAATATAGCGCCCGTTATTTATGATTTGTAACGCTTTGTGGGTGCACGTTATTTATATCGCAATTTGCGACATATAAATTTATGTTCGAAAAATATGAGTTCGCTTTAAATTTCATTTATTGAGATTAGTATTCACTCTATTTCAAAATCAAAATATTCATCATATATTATTAAACCGGTATTCACCTATCACCGAGATGTTGATCACCAATGACTAACGTATGAGTGTGAGTTATCCGACTTCCAACATCACTTAGTAACACGAAGCATCGGGGCGGGCCCACACATGCATCATCACCTCGGCGACTTGGGCCCACCGACAGACATTCTATCAGATCTCGTGCACGAACCTCGGCGCGCTCGAGATCCTGGAATGTCGTATTGACTGTGCCGCAGGGGCCCACCAAACGAATGTGATAATCGGATATCCTGCACGAATCTCAGAGCCATTCTATCAGTTCTCAACCCCGCGATTGCTGGGGAATGCGGCAATCAGATACGGTGCACGAATCTTAGGGACCGCAACGTCCGTATGCTTCTCGGTTGTGTTTCTGTTCCGACGCATTTGCCGTTTCTACAAAGATGATGTCAACGACGCCTTGCGCCCTCCGAGCGGTTTCCTCCGCTCTCCTCTCTTTCCGATCCACGTTTGGTCCTCAGAGCGCTTCAACTGCGTCCTCACACCATCCCGCCGCTTCCGGAGGAGCCACCGGTCGTCGTTGCCCCCAAAAAAGACGGCCCCCCGTTTCGTCCTCCCTTGGCATTTATCCCCCAAAAAGATCTCCTTCTTGACCCGACTCGCTGCCGTTGCCGGGACGTGTTTCCAGTCTTTCGGGGAGGGGGGGCGTCTCGGATCAAACTTCCACCTTCCGCGCTTTCTGCCCTCAAATCACGGCAGTGGTTTTCGTGTCCCTTAATTCCATCCAACCCGGCGCTGCTGCAAGTTGGGATCTTTTCGGGCCTTCTTGTTCCTCTTCGGTGAATTGAATGTATTCGGAATGCCAATTTGAGCCAAGGAGTGTTCTAAGAAGAAATGAGCTGCTTCCCTTGTTTCTCCAAGAAAAATATCCCAAAGGAGGACCTACTACCTCCGGCTTCAGGCGTGGTAAAGGAGCATGAGCCAAATGGAAAGCCTGGTGAGCTCCTGTTGCTTCAAACATTCCTTTCCTCCTTAGAACTCGTGCTTGTGTTTGTTTACAAGCAAGCATACGAATTCCGATGAATGAGAGAACTAATCGAAATAGAAATATGATTGTGAACTCATCACCGTGCAGAGTCTCATCCCACACAGAAAACCTCTGATGAAGCAAACCAAAAGGATGCTGGAACTGCAAATATTGCAGCGCAGACATTCACATTCCGTGAGCTTGCTTCGGCTACCAAGAACTTTCGGCCTGAGTTCCTTTTGGGCGAAGGAGGGTTCGGTAGGGTGTACAAGGGTTGCTTTGAGAAGAGTGGGCAGGTAAAAACGGAAGAAGCCTTTGGCACTCTTATCTCTTCCTTTGATCGATCGATTACATGCGGCATGATTGATTGCTCATGAGTTTCTTGTTGTGGGTTAGATCGTAGCCATCAAACAGCTCGACAGGAATGGCTTCCAAGGCAACAAAGAATTTGTAGCTGAAGTATCGATGCTCAGTCTGCTTCAACATGAAAATATAGTCACGCTTGTAGGATACTGTGCTGATGGTGATCAAAGGCTTCTGGTCTATGAATACATGCCCATGGGTTGCTTGGAAGGCCATTTGCTTGGTACTGTCCTCGAGAGTCTCTCTGTTCATACTTTCTTGCCACCCATGCATGCACGCATTTGCATACAAATTACTTTTTCCCTTGCTTTCCCTGTTGGATCAGGTATCCCAGCTGATCAGAAACCTTTGAGCTGGTATACGAGGATGAGAATAGCTTATGGTGCCGCTCAAGGTCTGGAGTACTTGCATGAGAAGGCCAACCCGCCTGTGATCTACCGAGATCTGAAATCATCCAATATCCTGCTCGATGAAGAGTTCAATGCAAAGCTCTCCGATTCAGGGTTTGCGAGGGTCGGCCCCATGGGGGACAAAGGCCATGTTTCTGCGATGGTGATGGGCACGGATGGATACTGTGCACCAGAATGTGCGAGGACGGATCAGCTCACTATGAAGTCGGATGTGTACAGTTTCGGGGTCGTCGTGCTCGAGTTAATCACCGGGAGGAGAGTCATCGATGCATCGAAGCCAACCAATGAACAGAACCTCGTCGCCTGGGTATGGAATGGAATGGACTCTCATCGTTTATCCTTTGAACGAACAATTCTAGTCGATGCTTGCTCTCTCTCTCTCATGCTTGTTTCTGGTTTGAGCAGGCAATGCCCATGTTCAGAGACCAGAAGAGGTACCCGGAGCTGGTTGATCCGCTGCTGCAAGGGGACTATCCAGCTAAAGGATTGAGCCAAGCAGTCGCCGTCGCCGCAATGTGTCTCCAAGAAGAGGCTTCGGTTCGCCCGTTAATGGCTGATGTCGTCAAGGCGCTGAGCTTTCTTACGACGGCAGCGGACTCATTACCGGAAGATAGTGTGTTAGAAGATGAATATGAGCAGAGTGATGAAAGTAGCGACTGATGGTTCTTCCGACTCGGGACATTCACAACTACTCGAGGCTTGTTGCTTCTCTGTTTCTGTAGCTCTGTCACTCTTAGGAGTCAAAGAGTAGCAGCAGCATGTGGAGTGAGATTTCAGGGCACCATTGATTGGGAATCAGGTCCTCCTTCTTGCTCCTGCATTACCCATATAACTTGTATGTTCTCTGGATCTATATAAATCCATTAAAGCATTTCCATTTGGCTTTTCATGTGATCGGCCATGAGAAGAATGTTGTGATAGGGTTCTCGATACAGTCTCATATATTTCAAACTGACGCATATATATATGAATTTTGAGAAAGCGATATAAGCTTGTAATCATGATAAATAACATTGGATGTTCTGTTCTTCCAGCTGACAGTTTTCCCTAGTCATCATGTCCATTTCCTTCAAAAGATAAATCTCTCTTGCAGCACTAGATGAACTAATCCCCCTAATCCTAAAACCCATTCTGGTACATTATGTGACAGCAAATACAACATGTTGTATGAGACAGTGGCACGGCAACCATGCAACATTGATCGCCTATCGTGATGGTCGAAATCTGAGGGTCGACCTGGAGCTGATCCTAAATCATCAGGATTGTTCGGATAAGCAATAACTCTGGCAATTAGTTCAATTTTTACTTGAGTTTAAGGACCCATCCTTCATTAGTCGGACACTCAGACTGTTGAATCTTCCTCTGGAGTAGTGCCGTGAAGCCTTCCTCCAATCTGTCCCAGTCTTCATCATTGCGACAAATTCGTCATAGCTGATTCGCCCGTCCTACAATCACATAAAAGCCCACCCTAGCTTGTTGGTGATGGAGATGACAAAGACATGACATTCCGGAGTTGGAACGGACGGCTTACCTTGTCGCTGTCAACTTCTTTTAAGATATCATCTGCCACATCCGTGCTATCAGGAGCTCCATCTTCGGCTAAGGCCTCACGAAGCTCCTCGGGTTCAATGAAGCCATTCCCATCTTTGTCAAAATAGGAGAAGGCCCTTCTGAGATGCTCGTCGTTCGCCATTCTTTGTAAATGAAGAGATACAGCTACGAATTCTCCATAATCCAGCGTACCTTTCCCATTGGTGTCAACCTGTTTGGCAAGTTGAAATGATTAGGTTCTGTCATATTTTTTCTCTCTCAAGCAAGAAGATTATCAGATGAAACAAAATCAATCAATCTACTTGGTGCATAGTATACACAAACCCCTATGACATCATTTCCTTGTAAAGATCCATGATTCTGCTGAAGATTCTTCAATTTTTTGAACAATTACAAATGTCTCAGCAACTCCTGGAATCCAATTCATTCTCTTTGATCATAAGTACACTGACTTTGCTTTTGGAAAAATCCAATGCTGCTCATCACCAAGAACTTTGTCGTGATAAGCCAGCCCTGATGTTTACGGAAAACACTAAAAAAGATTCATGCATCTTAAAGAATTACATGAGAGCCACTTCCACCAATATTAATTTCCAGACCATGTAAGGCTGAATTTAGACCTAAATAACCTTGAACATAAGTGTATAACTCAATCTACCACTGACACAAAAAAGTCACCCAAAAATCTCTCAAGAAATTTGAAGAGATTGCAAAAAATTACTATATTCCCATTTGCCTTCCTCACCAAACCTTTTGCTGATCTTTGAAATTAATATGAAGCAAGATGCACAAGATGTTTCGTAATTGACTTTCCAAGGAACCTTTCTTAAAATGGTAAGAGTGATGCGACACACTTTGTACAGGAACTAAGCATCAATTGGATGGAATCAATTTACTAATATTGAAGCTCCTGTCACCCTAACTAAGCAAAATTAGCAACGAAATTTGAAAACTTAACTAACTTATAAATTATTCCTCCATACGGTACAACTCTTCAGTCCTGAGGTTGAGCCGAGGCCACTTACAGGCTAGTCCCTCCTTACGAGGCCGAGCCCAGCTCAGGTTGTTCAAAAATATCTTCTTCAGGGAATCCCAAGAACTACAGGATCCAGGCCAAGTTAGACAAATCAGCTGAGCCAGGCCACTTACAGACTAGTCCCTATTTATGAGGTCGAGCCCAGCTCAAGTTGTTCAAAAATATCTCCTACAGGGAATCCCAAGAACTACAGGATCCACAGGATTTTCGAAGTTTACTCTTTAAGTTAATAAGATTGGTTAGATCACAATTACTATAAAAATGTTCAAACTAAAGGTTCTGCCGCTAGGTTTAAGCTTCCATATGGCAATTAGTTAGCACATAAACAGTTCGGACAAGACCTTCCAAAATTAAAATTCCAAGCATAGGAATAGAGAAAAAGGGGACAAGCTCTCATCAAAACTAATAAGGTTTCAAACAGGTGTTTCTTATATAAGTGAACTTAAAATACATGGAGCATAGGAATTCATGTATATATATGTGAACAATTCACTTACAGCTTCAATAAGCATCTGCACTTCAGACTCCACAAGGTGTGAACCAAACTTAGCAAGCCCAGCTTTAAGTTCATCGTGAGAAACAATGCCGTCATTATCGGTGTCCATCATCCTGAACATCTCTTTAATATCTTCAACTTCTTCAGTAGACAAGTGATCAGCAATAACCTAATTGATAGTTGATCAAAATAAACATATACTCAAAATGTCAAAAATATTTAAAATAGTTAACTAGAGAACATTTTGCAACAAACCCTCAAAGCTCTTCTTTTGAATCTATTCATCCTTGAAAACTGTTTGAGTCTTGACTTGACAACATCACCAAGGGGTACATTTGGAGCTTTCTTTGCATTCTGAAGCCAAGGATGCTCTATAAGAAAAATCAACTATATAAGCACCGGTTCAACATCATATTCTGGACAAAAAGGAAAATGAGGGACTTAAAATTAAGAATATTCAAACTAAGCATCAAGTTACAAAAATGATAGACAAGCATTCCAGCTAATGCATATTATCTCAAAGTCTCGGCAGACGATTACACCAGACATTCTTTTGTCATTCTTTTGTGGTCACATAACAAAAGTATAGTGTTACCACAATCATAATCACTAATATTTTTACTAAACAACAGTTGCGTATGACCATAATTTCATACTATAACTACTAAATATGTAAATGCAATAGCATGTATGAACAGACATTAGCATGGCTTGTCGTATAGAAACTTAAAATCCACAAGAAAAGTTCAGAGAGATAACTGTTCAGAGATATTATCTTTGACAAAAGAAGACGATCGCAGTAATGTAAGGACAATAGAAAAGGATCACACCAAAGTAAACAAAAGCTAATCCTTTGCAAAATTAATAAATCTTCAGCAGCATAACATACCTATAAAGTTCATTTGTTATTTATTTTACATGAGCTTCAACTTTGAAATCCAGTGAAAAGAGGGACTGACATTATGCTTCAAGTTTTAAAACCAATACCAGCTGGATATGATGATACGATACATGCTGGCATCAGAATTATTTAAAATATTATCCTACTGTGCCATGCAACGACCAGTATGAGACTGGCTAGCAATAGTCAAATCTTGGATTTTTTTTGTGTCAGTCCCATTTTCATAGTTTTTACAAATAGCAAGAATTGCACCTGAACGTGGTCTGTTACATATATGATTAATGAAGTTTGTCCAACAAGTCGTAGAAACTTGAAACATGCCACTTAAAAGACTAAACATAAGTCTGTAGCTTGTGTAATTACCCTTAACCTTCTAAGTTATTGGTAATAATCAGGATATTTATACAGCTCAATTTACCATCATTTGTAGACCCTAGCTTCTCAATTTAGATCATTCGATGAAGAATCTAAAAGCCAAAAGTATTCAGTTGTAATAAGGTGAATCAACTGACAATGAACTGATGAATTATCTTGCAAATTGGAATTAAAATTTAACAAGCTCTTCTAGCAAATGGAAAATGGCTTCACTAGTGAATGAGAAAGGAAGACAATGTATTATACCAAGAACTTGCTTTGCAGTTAAACGAAGCTTGGGGTCAGGTTCCAACATCTGCCGGACCAATTTCTTAGCACCTTCTGAGATGCAAGGCCATGGTTCGCGTTTGAAATCTATAATCCCCCTAAGAATGGCTTGTGCAACTCCCTGTTCGGTTTCTGCAATTTAGACAGTGTATTCCCTTTTATACAGAAAATCTATCTGCAGAACTAACAAGAGCTAACAAAATTTACTTAACAAAGGCCAGAAGATTATAATAGCTGAAGAAAGTGGCAGAATGAAGTCTTAATAATATTTTAATGACACAATGCAGATCAACTAATTTGAAGTTTACCAGCCCAAAATGGGGGAACCCCGCACAGTAGGATGTAGAGAATAACTCCAGCACTCCAAATATCAATTTCTGGGCCATAATTACGTTTTAGTACTTCAGGAGCCATGTAATATGGGCTTCCAACAATCTCAGAAAACCTTTCCCCTAGAATGGGAAAAATACAAACTAATTATCACATGAAAGAAGTTAACAAATGAAAAGGAAGCATGTAAATATTTGTTTCATTTTTTTATGCCCACTTATAAAAGAAAAGTTCATACTTATATCAACCAAAAAACTTCTCAGCTCAAACAGAGCATCATGTGGTAAAAGATTAAAATTCTTATCTAGTATTGCTAGCAATCATCAGGGTCAATGTTTATTCTAAGGATACACCTACCTTACAACCAAGGATAATTGGTTGGGTGCAACCAAGAAGGATACAGTCTTCAGCATCAAAGTTTCTTATAAAAGAAAAGGAATAGCCAGAATGTTATGGAAATGTGCAATAAGCAGCTCATTCAACCCTGACTCCACGGAATGAACTTAAAAAAGAAAGATGCGAATCAACTGAAATGGTTATCACGAAAGTTTCAATAGGTTTCTTTTATTGTTACTATTATTAAAAATTGTAGATCCTGCATTTGCAGAGCCTCATGCATCAAACAGCCCTTTTCTATTGTGCTATGGACAATTTTCTTGGTGTCATCCCATTAGGCATCCTACATATAGGATATCCTGGCAAATTTAAAATTCTAGAAATCAACATCACTACATACGTTTCTTCTGTAGCAGCATGTGAGACCAGAATTTATGAAGCAATTTAGCTCTGATACGGAAATGATTTAGTTTTCTGCAAGGTATAAGCAATTTATGCAACAAATGCAAGTCAAGAAGTAGGTTTTGACTATGAGATCGTCATCTTACATTAAGCAGACGGATCCACCAAAGAAATGGACTCACCAGGCTTGAAGAATATCGACAACCCGAAGTCAATCGCCTTCAACGGCGAGTTCTCCTTCTTGTTTGCGAACAAAAAGTTCTCTGGCTTGAGGTCACGGTGGATTACCCCATGCCTATGACACTGCTGCACAACCTCGACGATGGTCCTCACGACGACGGCCGCCGCACGCTCCGAGTAGTGACCCCTGGCCACAATGCGGTCGAAAAGCTCCCCGCCCTCGCACAGCTCCATCACCAAATGCACCGCGCCGTCGTCCTCGCGCGCCTCCCTCAGGCTCACGATGCTAGGGCTCTTCGGCAGGTGCCGCATTATCGCCACCTCGCGTCGCACATCCTCCACGTCCACCGCCGTCCGCAGCTTCCGCTTCGAGATCGACTTGCACGCGAAGAGCTCGTTGGTGTCGCGGTCCATGCAGAGGTAGGTGACGCCGAACTCCCCACGGCCGAGCTCCCGGTCGAGCACGTACTTCTCCTCGATCCCGCCCACCGACCTGGCGTCGCTGCTCAGCACCATCATCCGCTTGGAGTGGCCGCCGCCCCCGTTGTGGTGGTGGTGGTTCTTGCCGGTGGAGCCGCCGTGGTCGTGGTGGGCTACGGTGAAGTGGGTATTGACATCCTCCCGGACCACGGCCTCCGGCGACAGGCAGCAGTTGCCCATCCCGACCTCCGATCCGATCTCTTTCCTCCCAGAAAGCGATCGAACACCGCCAAGACCGCTAGGGTTTCACATCAACAATTCGAGACAAGAGTCCTTTCGGCTATTCCTTTTCTGTTGGGAAAAGCGAGGGAGGAATGGGAATGGGTGAAGCTGAGACCTCCGTCGGGTGTAACTCGGGAACCGAGAAGAGAGCGAGACTCGCAGTGGGGCGTTTCCCCAATGCGTGTGTGCCGAGAGGAGCAGCGTGGATTCGCCTCGGAGCGCCAGAGGAAGGCGAGGAGGATAAGAAGAGGGAAGGAAAGGGGTGAGCAGCTCGTCGCTGCGGGATCAGCTACTCCGCCGGGGATAGGCATAACGCTTGCAAGTGGGGACCACGTGTCTTCTGGCGTGTCCGGCGCGGGACCCACCACGTACCGCGTCGTCCCATTGGCTATCGAAGTGAGGCCCACGACACAGAAACCACACTGCATTCTCAATCCTGTTTTGTGTGAAGATAAATATGTAACTTTGATTGCAGCATTCACCGCACAGAAGACTCGAAACATAAGAGAGAGAGAGAGGGGGGGATGGGAAGGCAGACATCCATCACTTGCGTAAAGCATCTAAAAGACGAACAATTCTGGCATCTAGTAATCCTATAAATGACACGGGAGACTTCACTTGGATTTGTGCTGCCAATCGCCATACAACTGAGGGTCGGACTGGTAGTAGACGACGTCTCCTTCGTCGCTCACGAAGTGATCGACTCTGAGGCTTCTGAGTAGAATGCCGAAGAGGTGGAGCGGAAGAGGCCCAGATTTCTCCGGTTCTCGGTAATACTTCCCCAGCACAGGTTTAGCTGCCTGCGTCTGAAACGAATGGTCACAGGTAAGAGGAAATCGGAGAATGACGACAGATCCAGTGGTGAAATGCGAACTTACCGCCTCTACCAAATTGTAGTGTGGTATTTGAGGAAAGAGATGGTGAACGACGTGAGTTCCGATGTCGTGGTGGATGCTGTTTATCCACCCATAGTCCCTGTCGAGGGTGGTCAGTCCTCCCCGCAGATAGCTCCATTCCTACAAAGACACACAAGGTGAGTGCAAGTTGCAGCAGTGAGGTCAGGTCTTAGCAAAAGCTTTCAGTTTGATTCCTAACTCTGTCAGGTTCATCTCACCCAATATTATATGGTTCTGTAATCAAACTCTAACATTCTGCATATTAGGCTATGGAGGAACAGTAGTACAATGTGGTTCGGTGGTGGTAGTTCCTGCTACAGAGGAACTGTACAATGTTCATGCTAAGCTACAGAGGAACTGTACAATCTAATTATGAGGTGGTTTTGGATCTATCTAACTTTTCCATCTGTGCATATCGTAACCCTGTCACTGTCCTATCAACTAAGAGGATGCCCTGTCCCCATCCTATCCACCATGAAATGGACGGAACCCGAGTTTGAATCCTTCCTCGGTTGCATTAAAAGATCTATGGTCAAGTGTTCTTAAAGCATCCATATGAGTAGGTAGTAAATGATTTCACAAGTCCGCATGCACTTGGCTCAATTTTAAAGAGAAACAAACACATTTAATTTCTATTGGAAGATTGCTAGAATCACTGAATGAAAACTTTGAAGGCATATATGGGAAGCATTTCTAAACTGAACAGTACTGAGAGCCTCACTTTTCATCAAGGTTTTTGGAATGGTTTGTTGTTGTTGAACGACAAGGAGATTGGTGTGTGCTATTATGGCCATACAAAATGGAAGATGGATGCCAAAATTCCTAAATATTAACAGGGAGAAGCATGTTGAATGGAGAAGCAACACACCAAAACATGACCAGTCCTGTTCTTGACAACCTATAAGTGAACAAGTTTGAAACAGATGGCATGGTCTCCTATCAAAGATTCAAAGAGTCTTTTCCAAGGCAATTGTGAGCAATTGCTTTAATGAATGTTGTTACTTCAGTAGAGGATTCCACTTAGAAACTTAATTTGCTACTTGTCGACTGCCCCATCACAATTATTATATCTTGAATTCATAGATTGATATACATGTATACAGAATCTTGTTATAAGATGAGGAAATATTTTCTTACCTTTCCGCGGTACCAGGGGAGCTTTTCGCTGTGACCATGGTGATGCAAGTACGTGACCAAATCTAGCCACATTATGAAAATCTGATGCAAGGAATTGAAGGTATATCAGATGATAATACAATCAGTAATTTTTACGAGTTACGGTTGATTTCTTTGTGAACATACTCACCGCGTAGGGTACACCGTAGAGTTTGAGCACTGGAACAGGACCATACACCCAGGATAGACAAAGAAGCAAGGCCATCATGGATGACCAGCACACGGTTGATACGATAACATCGTGTTCTTCATTTGGATGAAACAAGCTGCTGCTCGGGAGGAAGTGGGAACCTTCTTTTCCAGGACTTCTCCACAACTTTTGGATTATGGCAGACAAGAAATTAAATTAGAATTTGCTAAATTCAATTAAAGGAGCTTTGTTCTTGGTGAATGCACAAACTCACCAGATAGACAGGGAATGCAAACAAGTGATAAGGTAATGTAAACCTCATCTTTCGGCCGGTTGGATTCATTTGCTTGTACGTCTTCTCAGTTAGCTGCAAGAAAGAAAGAGTTATTGTTGTTCTTGCAAACAAATGAAATAAGCAATTGGACACGGAATGTCACCAACTATTTATTCGAATTAGTGTTCATTGAAAGAAACTAAAGGTTGTTCGTCTACGGTGAGAAGGACATTCTCAAAATAGAAAAAACATTATTGAAATTTCCAGCATGTTTCATGATGCCCACTAAGCGACAAGTCTGGTTTTCTGTCCTTCAAACATGAATCTTAAGTTAGATTCCATTGTTCACAAATCAAGATGTCTTGAGAGATAGCTAGTCTTCTGTATTAATAATTAGCACGGTGGAAGCAGAACACTCTTGACCAGCTCCCAAACCATGCAGCTTCTGTAGGGGAATTGGGTTCATTGCCTCTTAAAGCACATATCATGAACTCCTTTCAGACAAATCAAATATTATAGCCATAATTGTCTCAATGAAATCAAAAGTATGGTTGAACAATCATGTTAAGTAGCATTACAAGGAACAACTGCTTAATCCCTTTCCTGCCACAGTGTTAAATAGCTTCATGAGAAACAAAATTTTTAATAGATTAAAACAGAAAGTCTGAGTGTAGCTAAATTGAAAACCAAGAACGGAAATCTGTTTCGGAGGAATAAATTGAGCCAGTTTGAATCAAACAATTAGATTCAAGTTTATTCTCTAAAATGAGCCAGCAATCACTTGTTCACAGCGTCTATCCATTTGAACACATTGAAATATCATGTCGAGCCGACAAATTACTAGTTAGCCAAATAATGTTGATGAGTTTATATATTGATGAGTTCTTCTCCAATCACCAGGAACTGGAACAAACTCTTTACCTAAGCATCCAACTAAAATAATGCTTATATTAGAAAATGAAAGTATAATGTTCAAGTCTAGTTCTCATAAGCTGAATTGGACAACCCATGGCTTAGTGCCAATCATGGAGCTTGAGAACCAAGTCAAGGTGAAGACCACCCAGCTCCTACACAAACTAGAAAGGATTGTGAGCACGCAATTTTACAGCTAAAATACTCCCAACCAGTACAACAAAAGCAGGAGCTGGATTTATCTGAGACTATGAATGATCAAAGACCATCCAACTCCCAACCAGTACAACAAAAGCAGGAGCTGGATTTATCTGAGACTATGAATGATCAAAGACCATCCAACTGGTACAAGAACTAGAAAGAACAAACAAGGCAAGAAACTACTCACCGGGAGCCAAGATTCATCCTTTTCCACATTCCCATGGTTCTGGTGATGAGTCCTATGGCTAATCCTCCTGCTCCCGGCACCAACAAACAAGGAAAAGGCAAGAAATTATGATATCTGCAAACATTCACCTTCTCCATTGATCCAACTCGAAGAATCGCAGACTAAATCGAATCGAAAACTTACCATCCATGGTATGGCACCAGAATGCTGGAGTGAAGCAAGTGACCCACCGCATTGTTCAGCCACACATTGTCGGAGAAGCTCCCATGGCCACTGTCAGTAGAAGCCATCGTTAGTTCCTCCATTCCGAACTCTATCTAGTGTTGCTCACCTTGCAGCGACCAAATGTGGATCGATACCAGTCATGTCCGAGAACGAAGACGGCCCAGAACATGGTGCCCTGGGCCAGCCAATAGATGAGCCAGACGATCCAACTGTCGAGATAGCCGGCCGCGACGGCGAGCGCGGCGATGACGACGACGTCGCGAAGGACGTAGCTCATGGACCGCCAGGGGTCCTTTACCCAGCAATGGCTGGGTATGGCCGCACGGACATCGCCGATCCTGAACGGCGGCGGCCTCCCGAGGTCGGACTTATCCTCCTCGCTTTTCGCGGTAACCTCTTCTTCCCTTCTCGTGATGGCCACCATCTTCTTGGGCGCGGGCGCGGCGGCGGCTGTCCAAGACCAAGGCCAAATGCAGAGGGGGGATATCCCAGAGAAGGGGGACGAGGAGTATAAGAGCCTCATGGCTGGGTCGTTCTTGGTCAGGGGCGCGGGAGGGACTCGGGCGGTGCTTTTTTGGGCGGCTCGCCACCACTCATCGTCTCTTCCGATCCGAAGCGTGCGCGCTCTGACGCGATGCGGGCCTCAGGACTGGGTCGACCCGAGTCACGTGGCTGCTGCAGACCAATCACGTGTGAGGGGGTGCCCTCGCCCCGCCGAGAAACCATATATATATATATATATATATATATATATATATATATATATATATATATATATATATATATATTGTTAGGATTTCCTTTTTTCGATTTTAAATTTCAATATTTAATTATTCAGGGTTTGACCAAGTTGGTTTTGATTTTGACTATTTAATTTGATTTAGCGATGAGCATTTATATTTGATAAGAGAGATTGCTATATAGATTAACGATACGTCACACGTTCCATTAGGCACTTATAATAGATTCCAACACATCAATCACATCTTATATCGAGTCCTCTTCTCCTCCTCTCGAAAATGAGATCCCCGATCCGCCGCCTCCGGAGTGCTCCGCCAATCCGCAGCCTTCGGCAGGCGCTGTTGTCGATAAAAAGCAGCGGCTTTTCGACCTGATGGGCGGCGCCCTCGCAGAGCGCTTCGTCATGGGAGGGTCGCCGGTGGTCCAAGCCCTCGAGGCCAAGATGGGCGCCCCCCGGACGCAGCCCAACCCTAGGGTCTGCATCTCTTCTGCCTCCTCCCGCATCGACGGCTACCGTGCCCCCTCCGGCGACCTCGCCGCCCTCCAGCGCAGACAACAGCGTGGCGGATGCCACCAAGAGCCGGAGGAAGCTGCGGAGGACTTGGATTCGTCGGCGTGTTCAAGGACCGATGTGACCCGGGCTGGAAATCAGAGAAGCTCATCCTTAGAAAGGGAGCTACGTGGAAAGTCCGGGGCAAAAAGGTGAGGACTTTGAGCAGGAAGAAGACGAAACTGGGTCTTGTGGCAAAATTGGTGAACGAGAAAGAGAAGGAACAGCCTCTCGCTGATCCAAAAGACCTCGCAGAGGACGAGCTTTTAGCATCGCTTGTTGAAGTAAGAATATCCCAAAACTGGTTTTATTCCTTATACAAGCTTGGTGAAAGATATTAGGCTAAATTGTTTGATGGTATGGTTAATTAACGCCGCATTAGTAGTGATATGGCAAACTCATTTCATTGTTTTAAGTGCTTTTATCTCTGGTGGCATGAATTAGATTCACATATACCGAAATCGAGGTTTTCTATGAATGTACTACTAAAGACTAATTAGAATTCCAGGTTGTGTCGAGTCGATGTAGGCGTTAATCAAGACATAAGGTTGTGTCCTAAGACAGAAGAATGTCATAAGGTTGTGGCACAAAACAATGATGCATAATGAAAATGGTGCTGATGGCTTGGTTTGGTTGCTAAGAAATATGAGTAAAAATAAAATCATAGGTGAATAAACAAAAATATGGGAAATCGAGTTAATTATGTACCACAAAGGATTTCCTGTTCGGATGGTAATTAAATGATATTGGATTCTCCGAATTTTGTTGTTTGAGACAGATTTCTTGCTTATAGCACACTGTTATACAACTATTATTGTATTGGGCTTTTTTATCTTTTTCTTTCGATGAGTATGTATGACTACGATTATCAAACAAATAGTTAAATGGACATTCTAACATCCTAATTTGGGAATTCTTTATCAAACTACGGGTATCAGATCATTTTGCTTTTGACACGATATATCTTTCCGCTTCTTGTACATGATGCACAAGTTGTGTTTAGTGGTGTCCGCGATGAGAAATGTTCATGTTGATGACCCTAAATATGCTTCATAGGAGGGATCAACGATATCCGCTTGCATAGTTTGGAAAAATATAAATTGTCCACTACTGTTGGCACTCAACATCATAACATTTCCGTTCATATCTCTAAACTATTTACTATTTAATATGTAGAAGATGTAGAACAAAAAGATCTAATGTACTATTGTGGCTTCAAACACTTTGCTGTTACTTCATGTGGATTACTAGCCATCTACTCTTGCTCTTTTGCAGTTGTGCTTTCAATTCTCTCGGTGAGTTTAGGCTGTTGACGAGAGGGATGCTTCTGAAAAGAAAGGTGATCGGTTTCCAATCTCCATGAGAAGGCAAGTCTGCTTGGGTCGGTCCAACTTGTGTAAGCATTAACTAAGATCTTTCTGATCTCCGATATACTTGGATGCAATGTCGCATTGGGAGGATAATATTTCTGGAGCTCCTAAACTTTCCTTTCTTGCATGCTTAAATTATTGTCCGATGTTCAAACTTGCAGGCATAAACTTTCGAGATCACCACACTCACAAACATCTAGAGACTCTGCTTTCCATCGAAGTGTAGCTGAAAAAATGGTGTATCCTGCCCTAAAGTTTCAACAAAAGGAAGATGAGACTACAAAAAATCGGAAGCAGTTTGCGATCATTCAATCGAGAAAAGGTGCCTTCTCCAAATGTTTGTTACTGAGATGCTGACTGCTCTTTGCAGGACACGGATAACCTCCTCCGGTTGGCTCTTATTTTTCGGTCACGATTGTGGTCTAGAACAAGGATATCTGCTTATTTTCTGGTCGCGATCTAGGACAAGGATATCCGCTCCTAGATGCTTGCAAATGAATCAAGAATGGTCTCATTTTTCGGTCGCAATTGTGGTAATCTTTTACGATTTCCTTGTCACAAAAGTCGACAAAATCTTGAAAGCTATAAGATGATTTATGGTCGTTTCGGGAAAATTTGCCTAAATAAACCCATATTCAGTGTCGGAAATACTAGGTTTGATCTTCTCCTTTTGCTGCAATCCATGCTGTTCCATATCTTACATTGCTTCTTTTCCAGATGGTTGCGGCTTCCAAAGTCGACCAGCATCTTTTCTCAGCACTGGTCTACGATTGCAGGAGGACCCCATGGATCATCGCTTGCCGGTGTTACTTTCTACATTATTATTCTTCCTTTGTCTACACTTTTGAGATGTTACTTTCTACATTATTATTCTTCCTTTGTTTACGCTTTTGAGACTAAACATAGCTTCGGAAAAGAAACCGGTGGAAAGCATATGAGATGTTGATCGTCACAGCTTGGCAGAGACCATGGCGACTCCAACGCCAATGGTGGATAGAGCATTAGGAAAAGAGATATTACTCGAGAGAGTATCTTTAAAGTAGTGATTCTCCAGCTTTCTTTGTTGAGGATTGTTCTCCACCACACAGCATGTTTGTGTGTGGGGTGAAGCGGAGGAAAAAGCTTTGTCGTGACAATCTGTTCTCTCTGTCAGGTTTCTTCTGATGACATTACAGTTCGAATGCTCTGCTAATTCTTCTCTTTATCTCGTCTTAGGTAAAACATATCTTATAGCAGTGAAGACAGTATTCGAATTCCAAATCTTACCATAAGCTATGTCACAGATGTCCAAGAAAAGATCTCTCTCTCTCTCTCTCTCTCTCTCTCTCTCTCAAGGCATGGCCTCCGGCTCCTTAGCCACCGATGACCGGACGAGCGAAGCCCTGCAGAGTGGGCAGTTCGCCTGCGCCCGTAACCATTCATCAACGCACTCCGGATGGAAGCCGTGGTCGCAACCCGGCAACACCTTGATCTTATCCCCTTCGATGAAGCAACTGAGGCATATGGAGCACTGCGACGCCTCGTCGCCGGTCCCTGGCGCTCGGTGTAGGTGCACCGGGAAGCTGCCGATGGTGTCTGGGTCCAGACCGGCCTTACAAGGCGACATCGCGGCAGAAGGCAGGCTCGCTGAGCCGGTTTCAGCCGCCCACCGGCGGTAGCGACATGCCCACCAAAGGTACAAGCAGAGGAGGGCCAAGGATAGGAGAGCGGAGAAGGAGAGGAGGAGGAGGCCGCGGCCGTGGACGTGGAAGTTGTTGTCGTCGAGCATGTCGTAGTGCCAGCGGAAGGGCTGAGCATTCTGGGCCTCCATGCACGCAGACGGCGAGGCTATACGAGGGCAGGGGGAGTGGTCCGGGAGGAGAAGCGGTGAGAGCTGCGAACAAAGAGACTTCAGCTCATACTCTCTCTCTCTCTCTCTCTCTCTCTCTCCACAGCACGCCCTTTTTCAACACCCTCCTGAAAGCTTATCTCATCGAAACGTCACAAGGCAGAACGAAAAGCTCATCAATGCGCTGTTGCTGCTACTGCTGCCATTGTGGTTGGGGTATGGTTCCTTTCAGGTGTTGCTGCACACAGAAATAAGAGAGATGCCGCCTGCGCTGTGCGGAGGATGGTAAAGTGGATGGTTTTGAAGGAGTCGATGGTTTCGGAATTGGTTCGAACTCTCGGTGTCTTGTGGATTTGTGGTTAATTAGAGATTGATGGATTCGTGTAATCGGAGGGATCTCTGTCGAATATACCGCAAATATAGTTTTATGGAACATCGAAAAATCAAGATTTGTGTTAATAGTGTCTTTCGTAAAGTCATTGTACTCGTTGGGTTCTGTTGAGAATATAAATCGATAGATTGTATCTCAAGCCCCCGTACCATGTCAAGTGCGCAGATGCAGGAGAGGAGGAGGAGGAGGAGGCAGATCGATGGCTGGATGGTGACTCCTCGGGGGAGCTGGACGACGCCACCCCCCGGTAGGCGGTGCCATTGGAGCTCGGCACGGGGAGGAGGATGAGGCGGCACAGCGTCGGCTCTGCCAGGAAGCCACACGGCCAGGGTGCATGTCGTCCACCTTCCCCATCAGTGCCGACTTCTTGTGGAGGATCATCACGGTGAACCATCATGGGATGCTGCCCGCCAGCATTCCCATCACCACTCCTGCCGATGCCATGCAACACAACACACACTAATCATTGAACTCGAGGAACAGATAGTCTCAACTTCAATTGTGGAGTCCAGAATTGACTTGGAGCACCTAAAACTATATATTCTAATTAGCTGTTGAGAATAGTATGGAATGGAAAGGATGAATCGACAAATATATCAAAATAACTGAATCTGCCAAACATATATAACTGCAGATCTTTGTGAATATAAACCGGTGCTTTGTTTGAGGAACGGCATACGGAGAACAAAAACACAATCTACTGTATGACGGCT